CGTCTTTAATGACGGGACCCATTTTAATCTCAATGGCTCTGTTAATCGAAAAAATTGTCGCATTTGAGGTTCCGGATGCATCTGTTTTTCGAACAGTTTTTCTTCGAAAATGCAGTTGGTCAAGCATTTACCGGGAATGGTGTTCGTTATCATGAAATGTTAACTAGCTTTTTTGTGTTAAACTTGCCAAATATGGATCTCAACAGCGTGTGGTTTCAACAAGACGGGCAACATGCCATACAGCCAGAAAACCTGTTGAATTACTGCACGAGTCATTTCCAGGTCGTGTTATTTATCGTTTCGGAGATCGGCATTGGCCGCCCAGATCATACGATTTAATGCCTTTGGACTTTTGTCTTTGGGGTTTTTTAAAGTCACAAGTTTATGTGAACAAACCAACACCGATTGAAGCTTTAAAAGATTAAGTTGAACGCTGTATCTGAAACAAAGCAAAATACAGGGGGTCTTCAACTAATGTCTAAAAATTCACTGGCATATTATTTGGTCAAAAATATTGCGTTTCAGGCAAATTGGCCTTATCCGTCACTAGATTCCGAGATACAGAGTATCAAAGTGCAAATAAAAATTTCGTGTTTTTTTTTATAGATTTTTAACCAGTTTTACTAGTAACAATAGGGGAACAATGAAAACTCTAGTGATGTTTTGAACCAGCTCAAATTAGATCCCGTTTGTCGTAGATTGACATTTATAAAGTGAGCCGTGGACAACAATTATCTTACTGTCCGTTTGGAGTTAGTTAAGTGCTAAAAAATTATTTGTTTTACTCTTACATTGATTTTATTACAAATGCCCCGACATAACTTATTTTTGAATGAAGAAAAGCGCGATATGGTATGTGTTTATGCGCAAGAAATTTATGCTGGAAGTAGATCGCATCGCCGATATTTAGAGCTATATCCTGACTGACGGCAACCAAATCAAAAACTATTACACAATCTGTTTCAACGGCTTGTTTTATGGGCTTGGAGAAACTGGTAGTTTTCGTCTTAAGCGGACATAGCGGGCCAAAGGCGTGTTATTTCCGTCGATCAAAAAAAAACAAGTTTTTACTCAATTGCTTGATAATCCAGAAATTAGTAGTAGACAAGTAGCAAGAACTACGCGTATGATCAAAACAAGTACAATCAAAATTTTAAAGAAAGATAAGTTTCATCCCTTTCATTTTTCTCCAGTCCAAGATTTATTAGAACCCGATCTTCACTCTAGAATGCAGTTTGCTTCCTTCATGCGTGAACAGGAAACACATATTCCTAGATTTTTAAAAAGTGTTCTGTTTACTGACGGAGCGACTTTTACCCGTAGAGGAGCCTTCAACTACAAAAATAAACATCATTGGGACACTCAAAATCCACATGCCGTTTCATATCGCCATTTCCAGCATGCATTCAAAATTAATGTTTGGTGCGGAATCATAGGGAATTATCTAATAGGTCCACATGAATTTCGTGGAAATGTGACTAGTCAATTATACTTAGATTTTCTTCAGAACGAATTGGCAAATTGTCTTGATGACATACCCCTATCGGTTCGACAAAATCTTTGTTTCACGCAAGATGGTGCTTCCGCTCATTTTGGTTTTCAAGTTCGGAACTATCTTGATGAACAATGTCCGAATCACTGGCTGGGACGCGGAGGCCCAATACCGTGGCCTGCCAAAAGCCCTGATTTTAACCCAATGGATTTCTGTTTTTGGGGTTTTATGAAATCCCTAGTTTATGACAATCCCATTAACAACAGGGAAGAATTGTGGCAAAAAATTTTAAATGCTGCAGAAGTCTCCGAGGCAAAAACCTTTTTTTTTTCAATACGACAATCATTTACTAGAAGAGTTAGGAAATGTATTGAAGTCAGAGGACATCATTTCGAACAATTATTATGAAATACTAATTTTCACAGGTTTTTCTGGGTTTAAAAAGTAGTCTAAAGTAGTTCTGAACGTGCCCAAATAAATACTGTCTAATGTTCGTTAAGTTTTGTTTGATAGACAATTTGCGCCGAACATTTCTTTTATTTAGACATCCAATTAGTTCAAAAATCACTACACATTTCAATGTAAAATATCTCGAAAACGATGACAGACATCGACTTGAATCAAGTACACCTTTTTTGTTGTGGAACTATTGGCGAACCTGATATTATTAACAAAAAAGCGATATATTCAAACCCAAAAAAGTTCTGATGTTTTAAATGGTTCCAGACTGTTGCAGCTAGCCCTCTATGAATTACAAGGTAGATAATACGAAATTTGGATCTGCCGATCTAAAAAACTCTCAAACACAAATTTTTGTGGTACTACTAAGTGTGGTTAAAAATTTATTAAAAAAATACGAAATTTTATTTTACACTTTGACACCCTGTATCTAGGAACCTATTAACTTTCCGACAAGACAAAATTGTCTAAAACGCAATAATCTGGCCTGAACAATATGTCGTGAATTTTGCGACATTAGTTTGGGTTAGTTCGGGTATATGCGCAACAGTCCTTGAAAATTCAATGAAAAGAGCACGCCTGTGCCAGCAAAACCGAGGCGGTCATTTGTCCGATGTTTTATTTCATTCATAACTTCATGATATGTACTTCATTTTTCAATAAATGTTTCAAACTTATGCCACAAATATATATGTTTAATTTAAAATGTAAATCCGTTGTTCTTATTGGAACATCCTTTATATGTTACAATGAAATTTAATCATTGGCTCCTTTTCGCACGATTTCTGGAAAACGCATCCAAAGGACACTGGCCCAATGACTACACACCATTTTATTCACACGAACGGACCACAGCCTACAATATTACATATTTCAGACGACCGGCCTAATGGAACCAGATGCGGTGCGTACGAGAAAGAGCTGCGGAGCTACTTGTGTTGTTATCTATGCCAGACATAACAAAGCCGCTAAGCATTCCATTGAGTTTTCCCGTGCCATAAGAAGTTATCACCTCAAAAAGCACTCTGAAGAATATTTTTTGAAGTACTCGCTTGCTTGGAATACCCATCTTGCAAAATACCCATCAGCAGTCTGAAGCATAATCATCCCGCGTCCCGTCATAAAGAAAATTAAATGATGACCTCGGGATATTTTCAGGACCTTCACTAAAAACCGCTAGCATTTTTTTTTAATTGTCAACTCTTGCCTCTGGCTTTAATTCAAAATGTTTGCCTAGTCAAATTCCCATATAAAATGGGTGGTACGTCAATACAGTAAGCAAAACACTCTAATTATCAGAAAAATAGTGAATAATTTCCTGTGCACACATAGCAGCACCTGCAATTATAATGCGATGTTTACAGATAATACAAGCTATTTCAAGTCTATTTATTTAAATTGCGAATTATAAAATCGCTTCGGCGTTTCCATGAAAAATATTCGTAATGTATCTGTTCAAATAAAATGTTTTCGTTGAGCTAATCTACTGCTAGAAAGACGCATTTTATTATTTTATGATTATGTTTTCCAATGACGCATTCAAAAAAATACATTCCTAAGGGAACACAGTAGATTGTGGCAAATGTGCACTATAAAAACATTTTTGCGAATATGTTTGAGCTGAAAGTAATGCAGAAAATATAGTTGCGCTTTCAGGGATAAGGCATCTTCTTCTTCTTCTTCTTCTTCTTATATATAGAAATATAGATATAGATCTATAATAAGACCAGGCTCTCCCAGTCTGGATACCGCGAGCCAGTTTGTGCCTTCTGTAGGCTGGTGCCCAAAGCAGCTCGAATCTGGTCCGTCCATCTGGCAGGTAATCTGCCACGCCTACGTGATCCTTCCACTCTCCCCTGCATGACTATCCTCGTTAGACCCGTGGTAGATCTCTTCAGGTGGTCGAAATATTTAACAATTCTTCCGAGCACTATGCTGGAGAGACGCTGTCCCCCATGGATTTCACGAAGAACGGAGATGTTAGTCTGATGCACCGTCTCAGGACTGTGGATCCTTCTTCTCCAGCACTATAGCTCAAAGGTGTCTATTTTTTTGGGGGATGTTCTGCTTTAGGATCCAAATCCATATAACATGATAAGGAAACCCAGAAGTGACGATTAAGTTTTTTGTATTGATGGTTAAGCTGTTGTCCTGCAATAACTTTTTTAGTTTTGCCATTGCTGATCTCTCCATTTGTATTAGACGAGTTACCTCGTCATCACAGCCACCTTTCTTTGTCACTGTAGACCCCAGATAGGTAAGGTAGTGATCGGCATAAGAAGTAATATACTTTTAAAGTTAAATCTTTAAAATCAAGCTAACTGTAAATTCCTCCACATTATACTAAACTAAGAAACATGATGGAAGAGATGGTATTAGAAACTGGACATTTTTGTAATAAAATGCCCTCACAGCTCCATACGAAGACCGTGTCCTAAAAAGGGAAGACGCTGGGAAAGCAAGAATCTTTATTTAGACCTCAGCCGCTCAAAAAAGCACAGATGAAGAATTGACAAGCGAATCACGCACGGATTTCCTTGCAAATCTTTTTCCACTTGCCAATAGTTTAAAGGAAAAAATGAGAATGTAAAAACCTATTTTCTCCTAAAATCTCTTTGGTGGCATTTGTAATGTTTGATACAGAAGATAGCTCTCAAGACCCGCGTCGGTGTTATGTCTGCGCCCGTTTGCAATCAAAATCATGGTATACTTCCGATATTATTTTTACTTTTCGATTAACCTTAACTTAAGCATTGAAACAGTCATAGTAAAGTTGAAATCCAAAAAAGTCCAAAAAGGCCTGACTATTTTATTGAATTGTTATATAGACAAATATTTATATCTATAGCCGATTTTTTCTAATTTCCGATGGATATGCTACTTGGAAATACATATATTTATTTAAAATGTCAAAAACAATACGGTTTGACGATAAACGAGGAATCTAAAAATAAAATTTCGAGACTGGCAACAATGCTGGCATATAACCTACTTATGTATATACGCGACTTGATCAATATTTACTACGAACACGTGGAGAAAACAGGGTATATATTTAGAGGTTTATTCGTGGTGGTCAAATGTTCGTTCGCCGATTCCAAGCTATATTGTTCTACGGGATAATTATTTAATTTCCAAGTTATTTTTCATTCGTTCTGAAATGGCAGCATTTGATATTAAAGGAAAAATCGCGTTGGTTACCGGTGGCGCTAATGGTATTGGCTTAGCTTACGTTAAATTACTATTAGAAAATGGATTGAAGGTAACATCATCAATAGTAATTTTTTAAATCTTTGGTTAAGCGTTAATTTCTACTTTACTTTTAATAAGCATTTGAGTAAATTTCAGCTTTTTACTTGAAGCTGTTTTAAAACAGTCGCAAATAACTAATAACCAGAAAACATGTAAAAGCAAAGCAATGTTTAAACGTTTTATTAGAGTTCGTAAGTTGAATATAATTTTTCCCAAATATACACCACCCAATGAAAAAAAAATTGGAAACAATTGCAACCACGGATTTTTTTATTTATAAGAAAAATAGTAATTATTAACTAAATAAATTAATATTATTCTATGTTGCTACTTCTACTAAAGTCGCCCACTTAAATAAAACATTTTCTGTCCGAACTAAACGATTTATACAAATCAACATCATTTTTCCTGTGAATTTATAAATAGTTTTTGGTCACCGGTTACTTGTTAGAATACAATAATTTCTCATCGGTTAAATACTTTTTAATTTTTAAAAGTTTTTAAAGTTTAAGTAAAAGTTTTTAAAAGAAAATTGGAAAATTGTAATTTCTCATTCCATAGCATGGAATAGCAATTTTTTTAAATAATGCTAACCGGTTTCGACTTATTGCTTCATAAATCCAGCAATATAACGGTTTTGTATTTTTACCTCTTCAAGTTACTGAAATAAAAGCTAGCTGCTTATTAATATTGAAAATGTGAACACACAACGCAAAATATCAATTGTTTCCGAATTATCACTTTATGCATAGTGTATTTACAGAAAACTGTGATATTTTTTTACAATTATTAATTTTTTCGGCAATTTATTTCCTGTAAATGAAGCAAATCTAGTTTCCAGATAAATCTACTGATGTCTTCTGTTTTCTTAGTCCATTATCATATTTACTTCTATCTCTATATATATCTATCTATCTCTTATATATTGATGAGTCTATCTTATCTACTATACGTACCGAATTTCGTTTGGTTATACTTACTTTGAATATTTGACAAACCAACATTTTTAAATTGCAAATATGAATTTAAATTATACAATATAAACAATAGTAATTCGATATTTCTTACGTTTTCGAAATTAACGCATTTTGTGTAATACAATTCTGTCTAAAACTATACCGATTAATGTTCAAGGAGAAGAAAAGGTGACATACTTTGATTAGATGATTCGGTGAAACGATTAGATGATTCGACTTTGTGAGAGAAGTGAATCAACCCGCGCTATTTACTGAAAGTGGTGGTTCAAGGTGACGGAGTAAAGATAAAACACCAGCATAAAATCTAGTTTCTAACACCATAAACACTTGATATTGACAATAACAAATAAAGAAGCCAGAAATTATAATATATAAGATAGAGAGAGATAGAGGTAAAAGAATAAAAAACAAAGAAATAAAAGTATAACACGGAACTTACCTGGACGAACATCCAGGATTCTAACTGGATTTTGTTTTGCGCAAAAAGTTATTTCTAATGTGTAGTATACTTTCTCCGGATAAAATAAAACTGAAAGGCATTGCTTATCTTTTAAAAACTCTTCTTTCATTAGAACTGATTTACAGTTATTGAAAAATAACAATTTAAATTGGGCATTCTATAATTTCTAATTCACGTTTTCCCGGCTTAGCAACAGTTTTATACTAGGCGTTCTTCTTGTACAAAATTTAAGTTTTTTGTAGTCAGCGACTCAACGAATGTATCTTTATTAAACATATCTTTAAGAAGCCATACTGCTCGTTATTTTATAACAAGAGAATAGGACGTATTTTTTTAAACAGAATAATAAAAAAAAATAGGTACATTCCCACAACTTTTCCAGTTTTACGTCTAGTGACCTTCAAAAAGTTGCCAATGTTACATAACAATTAACAACACGTGTAAAAAAATGTTATTATTTACTAGAGGTTTATTATGTAACATGTCTAAATACCACCAAGTAGGAAGATGTGTCAAGCATGTAGAAAAATACTCAACAATATAAAAACGGCAATTGCTGCCCGTATTTTGGCGCCTTATCTTCAAAATCACGTTTTAGTTCATACGAACAACGATTAAGTATCAGGAGTTGATCCATTTGATTGGGCATAATATTTGATTAAGCCAACAGGTAAATACGTGTTCATTCTCTAAACAGGAAGTAACTCTTCAGCGCTACAAATCGTTTCGAATTCTCGATTTGAATAGTTATGGTTAAATATTTTGAAAGCAGGACAGAAGAAAAAAAACATAAATTATGAATTAACGTAAGATTGAAGGAGATTAAGAAGAAGAAAACTTTGAGCGTCAATCGAAGAAACAGTGTAATTTTTTACTATTTCGAAGTAAAATCTAAATCTTATAAGCCGGTTTAATCATGACCTTTATGGGACTTAATTTTAAACTTTATGGGGCAAATAAAGCTTGAACTTGATAATACACAGATAACTGTTGTTTACCTACTCTTCCACATCATGTTCTGCAAATATACGAAATTTGTCAGAATAAAAATTGTTGATACTTAAACATCTCACTTTTTCAAAATGGAAACTTATCTATGTTTGCATTGTCTATTTTCAGGATTAAAATCTATTTCAAAAAAGAACTTATTGCATCTGTTAATAAACATATATGTACTTAATTACCATGTCTATGTAAATATATTTACATGTTTCTGATATAATTTGCAGATAAAACCTAGTAAACTAATCTGTGATCTAAGTCTGCTTGGTCCAAATCTGAATTATGATGCTGTATGATGCACGTTATAATTCCATTTATATATCAGGTATCAGGTCTTCTGCAATTACATTTTGTTACGTAAATTTACTTGTAGTTTCATATTCAGTAAATTTTTGAAAATATCTGACAGTCTCCATAGTCTCTATTTATCTCCTAGATGATATAAAAAAATCTTTGTTAAGCTGCATATGCCATTTTGCGTTTTGCTACTTTTTCTAGCTCCATATGTTCGAAATTAAAGGGGGTTTTAAACAGCAACAAAAGACGAAATATTATTTAATAAAAATATTTACACATTGAACATTTTCTGTTTTTGCAGGGCATTGGCATTGTTGATCTTAACCCTAACGGCAATGAGGTAGCTGCAAATATAAATAAACAATATGGCGATGGGACAGCAATTTTCATATTGGCAAATGTGATTAATAAGGGTGAACTCTCAGGTTTGTATGTTTCAATCTGTCCTGGCTCTGCCCTTTTGCAAAAAAAAATTGGGAGTAATTCCGTAGGTTCAAGCGAACTGAAAGCTCGCCCAATTATTGTTCAAAGTTTAGTGAATAAGTTTGCGTAGAAAGTAGAAGAGTTCTTTTCACATTACATCAAAATGGGAGCATATAGTTTTACATACCCGAACAGAAGTATTAAATATGTTGTTTGTAATACTTGTCTTGTAATGCTTATAATCTTCTTGTTTTCTTAGTTTGTCGTGGCGATTTTACGTAAATCAATTTGCCAATTTAGAAAGTTCATATAAAAAGTTTAACGATTCAATTGAAGAGGTATTTTTAATAATACGCTTGCTTGGAAAGATAATGTTTATATGAAGACTGGATATTTTGCCAAATTAGAAGAAAACTGTAAAACCCAATACAAACTTAAAACAAAAATTACACAATTAAATGCACCAAAACTACACAACAAAATGAACAAATGCTTGTACTCTTAATTTTTGGTAAAATGGTAAAGTAATTTTTAAATATTATTTTAAACAAACGCCAATCTTTTAGAGAATGGACTGAGTCCAAACCGTTACTGAAGGCACATAAATTTTCATGCAGTATGTTTTAATCGCGTTTGCACTCATTAGATGCTGAATACCCATCAAAGTTACGGTTCCATCGTTGACCGCTTCAGATAGTTAACAAAATTGAAAATTGAGAAACTTTTAACAAATAATAATTCTGTAGATCTGATGCTACTGCTCAACAGCAGCTTCCATCAGCAATTATTATTATGCGTTTAGCATAATATGTATAATAAAATGTAGAACTATTTACTGGCAAACTGACTAGAGAAATATAAACTTTCTTTCTCTTGTGTCAAGAACGATCAAATCATGTTTCAAAATTCGCATTGCAAATTTTATACAAAAAAGTAACAATAATTATGCAAATAAAGCCTTCAAAAAATTTTGGAGTACAGTTTTTTCTTAATTGTTCTTTTTATAAAACAGGTTCTTTTCAATATGCAGACGAATATGCAGAAATGACTAGCACATTCAGATTAGCATTGTCTGTCAGAGAAGAAATTTCATAAAACATTTCGACAAATTACTGTTTGGGTTAGTTGTTTCTATTGCTGTTGTAAATATCCGTATATAATTCGCTATTGTCTAGTATTTTTGAAATGATGATGACACTATTGGTAACTATCTGTTACAAATGAAATAGGACAACAAAATTCAGGAACTATTTTCAATATTAGATATCTACTTGTACGATTTCAACGCTGTTTTTGTTTCATATTTTAGCTAAAGGTAACTAAACATTTGCAGTCTACTCTATTTATTTAAAACGCCTGAAAATACTTGAACGTCAAAAATTCTGTGATCAGATAATAAACACAGGATCTTACCCAAAACCATTAATGTATTTTCGTAAATATTTCGCAAACGAGCTAATCGATTGTTTTTCCGTTTTCGCGGTCATAAGGACTTGGAAAACAAAGTTTCTGCACATATTCTATCTATAACAACGTATTCACCAAATTAGTGAATTGCAAATAATGTGAAATAACTGATATAAAAAAATTCAACCAGTAAGAAAAAGAAGTATTTTTTTAATAAAAAGGAAACCAAATCTTGTCTGACATGCGATTCAAAATTAAATAATTCTCGTAATCGTAAACCTGATAATTTATCGTTTAGAATATTACTTGTTTTCGTTTCTCATTCCGAGAAGTCGCCGCTAAACTTTTCACCACGTTTCACAAAATAAAATATTAGCATCATTAATTAGTAACTCTATTTCTATTTATATTGAAGTTTACTAAACGTGTTAGAAAATTAGTCGCTTTCAAGTAAAAGACTAAGACTGATCTCTCTTTGGAACATATTTATTTCAGCTAAGTTTAGAAACTTCTTACTGTTACTTAATCTATGGATCCTTAGTGCTAACATCGCTAGAGTGTCTAACACTCTGTGTACCTTAAGATAACATCATATGACTAAATCTAAACTAACCTAAGTACCT